GACGATGATCTGGACCAGAAGATGAATGTTCCGGTGTCGTCTATTATAGGGCGGTGCCTCGAAAGCCTCAGCCTGTGGACCCTCAACTGTAATACTAGGTTTGGTATTTTCGTTCTTTTTTCAACTTGTTTAAATCAACCATCACAATTTGAATCTCTGCCCACTTTCTACACTTCCAATGTGTTCGTTATTATCCTAAGATCTTTGTTCTTCTTAGGTTATCCAAAAGAATTTTATGTCCAAATTAAGACTTAAAGACATACTAAAAGATCTTTGTTCTTCTTAGGTTATCCAAATAGAATTCCTAGCTTAATTTCTTGCTAGTTCGCTGTCTGGTTTTGCCAAAAATCAGATTTTTAAGTAAATTTTGGTAAAACTTGATGAAACTTTTGGATGAAAAGTTGAGGTGTGATTAAAATTAATGGTTGATTTTGACTTTGATTTTTATCAACTATTAAACTGCAGCAAACCGGGCTAAATATGGATGGTAAAATATAAAAATTATCTAAAGAAAGATATTCTTTAGTAGCAGAAGCAAGTGAATTGCTTGCACCACCTTTTAAATGGAGCAGTAGAAGAGCAGTCATTATATATGTTCTTTAACTACCAATTCATACTTAGCGGACAGAAAATAATTGACATTTTGTTAATAGCAAGTCCCTATAGATCGGAAAGATCGACTAAATTTTAAAATGAAGATTATCTGAAAAAATTGGAGGTCAATTTTCCATTGTTTATGTGCAGCATTCTTGACTGCATGGAAGTGTTCAGCAAAGGAATACACCGGGCTTTAGTTCCAGCCGATAGCCATATGGAAAATATCGCAGGAGTTGAGCTAGTGGAATCGGCCTCAAGCTACCGAATGCTCACGCAAATGGATGTTATCAAGTTCTTGAAAGGATATGAGAATGAGCTTAAAGGTATTTTGTCTCGAAAGGTTAAAGAAATTGGAGCAGTGAGTGATATAGTTTTCGGGGTTACCGATAAAACCAAAGTAATCGATGCTATCAAGTGCATGAACACTGCTTCACTTAATGCCGTGCCAATCGTTCAATCTTCAAATGATGCCGGAGAAGATCATAGTCAGCTTATAAATGTATGTGAGTTCTCTTCGTACTTAATTTGGTCGTGAAATATTAATACTCGGGATTTCATTATTTAAGATTCTATATCTTAAAAAGTCAATCATTTTAAGAAGGATAAATATTTTTATATTAATTGATATTGGTTGATAACTAGTCTAGACACAGCATCATAGGCTTTGAAATCATAATCTCAAAAGGAGGAGTTCGAATCTTTATATGTTATTATCACCTCTTTGGTAGGGATTAAAGATTTTAATCTAAATCAAAGTTAGTGGTGTCAAAACTCACAAAATCAGCTCGCGCTTACCTTAATTTAAGAATGAGAGCTCGTGATCCTCACTTCAAAGAGGACAGGCTAAAAGATCACCAAGTCAGGTTGACCTATGAGCTCTACCAAGTCAGGCCAGCTCTTCAAGTTGGATAAGCTCGGTCTATGATAGGTTTGCTCTCGATGTTAGGTTAGCTCGACCAATAACTTATTAGCTCTGCCTATGGCAGTAACATAGCTCGGCCTACAATAGGCCAGCTCTCCATGTTAGGTCATCTCGGCCATACGTACCGTCATTTAGAAAACACCACATTGCTTTACGACACTTGTGCCTTATCCATGACATCATTGCCTCCCATGCGACCATTCCCATAACAACATGTGGTACTCATGATAATTGTGCCTTACTTTCAACCAATCAAAAGAATGCATTGTAGATAACCTATTTTTGGAGGCTAATTCGCTGTTTTGGGAGCCTATAAATATGATCAAATGGTTTCCCAATGGGAGAGGGGAAGGACATACAATAAACATTCTACAAGCTTTCTTTTTAATACAAAATCTCTCTTTTTTCTACTATTTCATTAATTTACCTCGTACAAATCATTAATTAAGGTGACATGGTGGTCATTTTTTATGTTTTATGGGTCCCACAACTTTTCAATTCCACATTTGATCTATCAAAATTTACTAAAAATTTAATTTTAATTTCCACCTAACATTCAACCGATGCGGAATTTGTTGTTAATATGAGATCCACTTTCGTATCGTGCTCTCTAGTTTTTGTGCATGATTGCAGGGAAAGAATGGAAAGCTTGTGGGAACTTTCTCTGCGACAGATCTTCGTGGATTCCCTCTATCTCAACTCAAGTCTTGCATGCATTTAAGCGTGGTCGAATTTATTGAAAAATGTTCAGTGACTCCACTGCATGAAGTTTCTGGCTTGAGAACCTCAACTAAGGATCTCATAACATGCTACCCAGAGTCGACACTAAGGGAAATGGTCGACAAGGCTATCAATAACCATGTGCATCGCGTATGGGTGGTCGACGAACAAGGTTTGCTTGGGCTTGTTTCCCTTACCGATATGACCAGGGTCATCAGGAGTTGGATGCTTTCTGAGCCCGCTTAGTCGATCAATATTGTGCTTATGAATCGATGTTCAGCTGCTTGTACTCCACGAGGCCAAGTATGTATATAGTTATACTTTCTTCTTGTTGCACCGTGGGAGGAACATCAGTTTGCATGCCGTTCCAAGTTTTTGTATAATGTTGAAAGACTAATTGAATAAGTATGTATATAGTTATGCTTTCTTCTTGTTGCACTGTGGTAGGAACATCAGTTTTCATGCCGTTCCAAGTTTTTGTATAATGTTGAAAGACTAATTGGATATCTCAAGAAAAATTTACAAGTAGTTGGAGATGTACCAAGTTTTTGTATACTGTTGAAAGACTAATTGGATATCTCAAGAAAATTTACAAGTAGTTGGAAATGTACCTAGTGTATGCTTGGCAAATCTTAATTTTTAAATGCCTACAATACAGTACTGTGAGTCCAAAATCCAGCAATACCCAAGTGATTCCGGGCTCAGTTTCCACCAAAAGTTGACACCACCACTATTGAGACACACCCAAATCTCTCCTTTCTTCTTCTCACATACGGTTGCTACTCGTACCCACAAAGAGTCGGCCAAGATGAGATCAATATATTCCAAGAGAGACCACACAGGTTGGTTGAGAGAAAGAGGCAGAGAGTTAGCAGCGAAAAACCCACATAGAGAAGTAAAGAAGAAGACAACCATACTGGAGGCGTGAAGAGAGCCAAGAGTTACAGCCCAAAAGGAGTGACCATGCATGGTAAGTTAGGGTAGGTTAACTTAGTGGTCCAAAAGAGGCTTAACACAAATGTATTGGACTCCAAATGAATATCGTAGCCATCCAAGTAAATGGGACGGGCCATGAGCCACACTATTAAAATAGGTTGCTTCTAATGGCCCGTAGAAAATTGGATTGGGTTGTCTCGATGGTAGTGTCGACATAAGTTCAATTATATGGTCAAGGCCGATTGATAATATAAAACTGAGGTTACATCATTGTCCGGGAGGTCGTTTGACAACAAATTGCCTAACAAGTACGATACGAGACGATGAAGGCAATGGGATAGACGGTAGATGGCTGTCTATAAAGTCAATGGGATACATGGGCCGCCTATGCCTAAAAGCCCCCGTCCATAGGGATCTCATGGCATGCAACCGAAACGACTCCCATTGGATAGCCTCTCCTTTCTTTTTACAACCTTGTGGATGGATGAAAGAAGGGAAGTTCTATAACGGGGCAGTGAAGGCTCACGAAGTAGACCAAGTAGTGAGTTAATTGTGAGTCCCATAATAATTATATTTACAACTATCTTTGATCAGTTTAAAAGTTGAAGCAATCTTGGTATTTGGAAGAATTTGGATATGGAGACGAAGTATATTCGTAAGGGGAGGATACCTAGTTAAAATGCGGACTTTTTCATCCTCTTGGAATCTCAATATTGAACTTTGAAGAATGGTATGAACTAGCTAGTTACGTAATCACTACTACTAAAACCAATTAACGAAAGCTAATATATATGCATAAAGTGGGAAAAAAGAATTCATATTCTCTAATAAAAAATTAATTACAACACGTCAACACTCGATAGCTAAATTTACGTTTTTGATTAGTCTTCTTTATTGAAGTTTTAGATGGTTCAAATTTCATTTTAATTTCATTTCTAAATTTCAAACATGTTCTTAGTGTAAGTGTGATGTTCTAGGTCCAATTGATTTTATACATTAACACATTTAATATATAATTGATGTATTCTATGTGTAACAGATATACTAATTAGTTGAATTAATATTTTAATAATTATATAATAGATTCTATAGATTCAAGTATTAATAACTTGTTAATTACAATGTGTCGTGATTGTGAGATATAAATTACATATGATCGAATTTTAAATTATTCATAGTCATAAGTAATAACGAGATACGAATATTGTTATTACGAATAGACCATCACATGGTATCTTTTATTTGTGAAGTAAGTAGCTGATCTCACATATTAAAGTTTAGTAACACTTAAACGAACACGTGGTTATTTTGTTAAAAAAACAAAATATTGGAGATCTTTTGAAAAAATTTCATATGAATAACTGTATGAGTGTCGGTGGTTAATCTATAAAGTTCAATAGTGAAATCGATCCTTTGACTTGAGGTAATCATAGTGCCTTATATGGGACAATCATAGGTTGGTGATATTGGATGTTGTTCGGTCAATTCTCGCTAATACGACATCAATCGGGTATGTTAAGAATTATATGAGGGTTGCGAAGATCAATATAGGTTATGTCACTCTTAGATAGTAAGAAATTGTGGTCTATATTTCATTCAGTTAAGTCAATAATGAAATCATTAGGCAAGGTGAACTGAGTAGTCGAAAAGAATTTTCGACTTGCATTGACTTAAAAGTGGGATGTAAGATATGATCGATAATCGAGATTGACATATTTCTCATCTCGTAATTAATTGGATCATATTAATGAAAGAACCATGGTAAAAGAACAATTTTGGTTTTGTTATACAACTTAACATTTCCCGTCACATGTATTGTCTTGAAAATTGTTAGATGTCGATTTGAGACGACGGATGTTAATTGGTGATAAATTGAAAATAGGTATATTAATTTATCGATCTTGATTAAATCAAAATAATAATTCACATCGTTAGGCATCATAATTAGGAACCTAATGGATCACCACAAAAGGAAAACTAGGAGAATGAAATTTACCAATTAATTAATCTACAAACGATGGACAATTAATTAATTGGGTTGTTTGTAAATAGACTGGAATTAATTAATTGGATTGATTAAATATTGGACCAGGTTAAGTTTAAAAGACAGATCAAGTACACTTAGATTTCTATTAATAGGCTACGAAGGTTTGAGAAAGCATAACACAACATAATTGTATTTTTGCTAGCATAAAAAAAGAAAATCCTAGTTTTCTCAATCTTGTTCCATGTATAGATTTTCATTAGAAGCTCGATAGTTGTGGATTGCAGATCGTGATTGTTTGTGTTCAAGATAAGCAAATGAGTTTGCAGATTTAACAAATGTATAATTCCTATTATATCTTTCTATCTAAATATAAAGTAGGTCTTTGATGAGAGTTAAAATTATTTTTTATTTTTTCCTGTGCATGATTTAGTAAATTTTTTGAAAGTTGGTATCGAAGCCTACTTTATGCTTGTTAGAAATTGTTTTGTTTCTTGGAACAATCAAAAGTTGATTGTTTATAATTTTTCTTATTTCTTGCATTTAAGAAAAAATAATTTTATCTTCAAAATATGTTTTCGAAAACAAAATAATTTTAGGTCGAAAAAAGAGCAGGTGGTAGCAGGCAGCAACTGCTGTCGTCGGTGAGGACTCAGGCGGCATACAGTGTGGCCGCTTCGTGGCGACATCGCTAGCCGTCCCGCTCGAATCCATGCACGGTTGGGGTACACACAATGACAATGGTCACTGTTGTGCATTGCAACGATGATCGTCGCGACAACTAAGATTGCAGCACAGTACTATTGCTGCAACGCTAATTGTTGTTGCATATCATAGAGTCACACTCTGCTATTCACCTACATGTGCAACAACAGCTATGCACCGCATCATCACCAGAGAAGACTAGTCATCATTGACTAGGGTTGACAACGATTTGGTTTGGGGTTGGTTCGGCCAAAATCATCACCGAACCACCAATTTTCCGTCATAACCACGTAAGTTGGTTTGGTTACATTCGATTCGTGTCTCGGTTCGGGCAGTTAATAATCACAAAAAAAATTATTTTTTATAAGTCCAACTGTCAAATTGAAAAGAAAAAAAAAATTTATAAAAAGAATAAATGAAAACAAAAACACAATACTAAGTCAATTTGATGAACAATATCCCAAATGAAAATACAAATAATATTCCAATTTCCCAATGCAAAATTCGAATTTAAAAAATAATTTTCATATATGTTTAATATTTATGTAATAGGGTGTAGGGTTACTAGGTTAGGTTAGTTGGACTTAGCGGGTATATAATGGGCTAGAATTTTGGGCTGGACAGAATCATAGAAAGAATAATGGAAAGTCAAATTGTCCAATTAATTTTATTAAGGGGTAATCGGTTTGGGGCGGGTTTTCTTCTTTTTTTTTTTTTTTTTTTTTTTTTTTTTAAAAAAAAAAAAAAAAAAAAAAAAAAAAAAAAAAAAAAAAAAAAAAAAAAAAAAAAAAAAAAAAAATTTTTTTTTTTTTTTTTTTTGAGGAAGTACTACTTCCCTATACAATAAAGAAAAGTCTAAATTACGAGCCTCTGAAACTGGGCAATCCATGTCTGTCGATCTGCACTATCGCCCTAATATGTCGAGGCAGTTCTAGGGGACCATACTCTAGATAGCGCCGATGATTCCAGCCTTCTGTAGCAAGAGAATCAGCAACCTGGTTGCCTTCTCTGTAGATGTGTGAAACCGTGTCTCTATCGAAGTAGATGAGGTCTCTGATCTGTCTAAGAATACCCTGAATCGACCATGGTCCTCCACCTTTGGTAATGCAGTGAATAGCCAATGTTGAATCTGCCTCGAGCCAGATAGCTGAAATCCCAAGTCCTCTGGCCAATAGAAGCCCATCTAGTATGGCTCTGAGTTCAGCCTCCAAAATGAAACATGGGCCATACGATGCTGAGAATGCCCTGATACAGTATCCTGCGTGGTCCCTAATGATGCCTCCACCACTTGCAAATCCATCTTTGACGCATCCATCAAATGTCATATCTACCCCATTGCTCCATCTGTTTGGGTTTTTGCTCCATTCGATTAGGTTTACTGCGGTTTTCGATTTTGATAGTTCGAATTGTCATCTCCATAGCTCACGTCATCGGCATCCATGGTGGAGAAGAAATATGTTTTAGGGTTATCGGGTGTGAAAGTTGGAGACGGGGGCCTTTGATGCAATTTAAAAAATTGCAAGCTCCTGTCTCCAATTTTATTTTGGGGTTAGTTTGAAATTTTTAAAGGACCTATTTTGCAATTTTTAAAGTTGAAGGAGTTTGTCTATAAATTTTAAATGGGCCAGGTTGCAAATTTTCAAATGGTGTTTTGTATTTGAAAATTAAAAAGTTCTAAATTTAATTTTCAAATAGGTTTTGACCTAAATTTGAATTTTGACCAAAAATTTCAACTTTGACCCATTTAAAATTATATCTAAAAGTGACGACTTTTAATATTACTATTATTTGTCTGTGCAATGCATGGGATCAATTTTTTTGAATGTAATGTTCCTGTGTTAAACGTGTTTGATTTTTCCTGAATTACATACGTAACTCAATGTTTGCTATAGCGACGATAGGA